GTTCCTCCAAAGCGAATGTAGTTAATGTAGATAAATTGAAAACGTGATAACACCACGAGCTTAGAAACTGGATCGTGACGATTTTTAAACGGCAACACGGAATATTGTTCCTCATTTATTCCCTTTCCCTCCTCACTCTCCTCTCTCTACCCGATAGAAATTTGATAAATTTTGATGAATCGCGTCACAGTTTGATAAATCGCGTATTTAACGGGGATTCAGGAGCTTGTGATTTTTGATCGTGTTCAGAGGCCGATTAATTAGAATTTTTTCAAGTGAGAACAAAATTTATCCTTCCCCTCCCCCAAAAAAATTTGAATAATATTAATTAATACTCGTGGAATATCTTTATCGATCTCGTTTTATGTTCGAAACGTTTGCTATGACATATGCAAAAATTATCACGAGGAGGATGAATTACATCTTTATTTATTTACATCTTCCATGTACTTGAGAGAAATTCATTCTTTTGTCACGATAAACGATTCTTTTTCTTTCTTCTTCTTCTTCTTCTTCTTCACGTTCTATCCTACCGTGATGATTGTCATTTCATTTTCATTTCACATTTCACCTCGGCCAGTTTTTTCGGCCGCCCGTTCGAATTGCGTGCGAGACGAAATTCGCGGAACACATGTAAGATTAATCGCGACGCGCGAAACAGTCTGTTGCTCGCGACTGGAAACATGTGTTGCCCATTCGCCACGCTACTTGGGTGGTTCGCGACCGGTGAAATGCTCGATTAACATTGAAATCGCGATCCTCTGTATCCCGCCAGACTTTTTTCAGATCCTCTCCTATCCTTCGACAAATCGTTGAACCAACGTGAGATCGGTAACGCAAGATTTATATACGGGACTACATTGCTCCTTCAACAACGGTGGAGAATTTTTCAACGAGTATCCATCCTCGTTGATTTTTATTAAATTGTCCCTGGATCGAGAGAAAGAAAATTGGAATTTTTATAACATTCCAAGAAATATTGTTGTTAATTATTCCATGTAATAAAGGAAATTATCGATGCCTTGAATGCGTATCGTACTTATTTCTTAGAGTTAATACGTACGCTTTATCGTTTTATACGTACACCTGAAGCACAAATTAATCACGCATAGGAGAATTTATGCTCCACCTCTACCACGATCTAAAACGCCACTAACACGTGCATTAGCATGTTGTTAAGTGCATCGCATGTACATGCAGATACCGCAAAAGATGAGGTTAAAATATTGCCGCTCGCTGATAGTGGCGCGTGTTCGTTGAACAATTAACGTTAAAGCTACGATAATAACACGAATATAACAATCTATTTTTATATACGTCGTGATAAATTTTTCATTATCAGTGAAACATTTACTTTCCTTTTAACAAGTTATAAATGTAATTGTGACTTAAATTGTGACCGTCTATCAGAGAATAGAAAATAGGACGATATAGATTTTTTTAAGCAAAGTCAAATTTTTGTGAATTGTAAAAAAATTAATAATTAAAAAATCGAGATTTCTTTTTATTTCTTACAATACAATAATTTCGATGTGATGATTCAATTAATCTTTTATTGAAACGTACATTTAAATGTACATAACGACAAATGTACAAATAAAATAGTTGCTTTAAATTTCACTTGATACAGAAATATAATTGCAATAGAAAAATATAAAGTATAAATAACACTTTGTTTAGATATTTTATATAGATTCGTCAATCTGGTAAATCTTTCATTCTCGATAGATATCATTACATCTGGCAATTTTATTATGAAAAAATTTCCATTTTATTGGATATGATTAAAAATAACATAAACAGACAAAAACAAATATTAAAAACTAATTTATTAATTTTCTTCGTTTTGTATCTCATAATTCCTTAATAACTTTTACAACAAGCCGAAAGTGAAAATATATTATCTTCACCATGTAATGATACGTTATAAAAATAAAGATAAAAATAAAAATTTGCAATTAATGTAATGCGTGCAATTATCATAATTATAAACGTTCGTATTCGAAAAGAAAGAAACTTTTATAAAAATTTCATTTCCTCTCTGATCTCTGATTATTCGGGATTTGATTCGATCCGATATTTTCTCGCACATCTCCCCATTTTATCTCTTACCCTATCTTCGTAAGTACATCCATTATAACAAAATGAAGGCTGGAAGAGTCCCTGGAGTCCCTATTTGTAATACCTGTTAAAATTCTTGCGTAGTTTTGGTGGCAAATCCATACAGGTTGCAGATATCCTGATACATAAACAATATCAGTTAAAATTACGATCACAATTATCGTGCGATTGCAACGATACGAGGAGACAAATACTCGGTTAGATGCAACTTGTGAATAAAAAATACAATAGGTTGGATACATTTTCATAATCAACAACAGAAGGAAGAGAAGTTTCGTAAAACTGATTGAAACTTTCCACGAATACTTTCTAAAGAAATATTGTGAAGCACAACAAATATAAGTACGTAACAATCAAATCTATTCGAATTCTATCTTTTATATCGATAATTTCGGATACGTTTCTCTGTCGAGGAATATTTCATCTTCATAGTTAACCACGTGTGCAATAATTATATATCGTGAAAAGTTTTTACTTTCCTTTCAGGGAGTTGTGTTCAGATTAACCTCGATTGGCTCGTCACTTCTAAGATACAAAAGTATCGTGGACAGTTTTGAAAAAGTTTCGTACAGAAATTACATTAAACTAGGATAGAAAAAGTATATATTCTTATCGTTATTATATATGATAAAGGTAAATACTTACGAAACGATTAAAATTAATTGTTTCGATACGAATATGGTTAAATGAAATTTGTTCTCACTACAACCCATCTCGTTGATTTATCGCATTAATCGTGCACTACGTTTCTCGTACCACGTAATTGCACATTTATTTTCTTATTGATTGCGAAAATCTGTCTCGTCGTCTCCATAAATGCACCGATTCGTCGATGTTTATCGTTAACAGAGATATGACTATCGATTATTAATATCTTATCGATATATTATTGAAAACTTAACCATGTATCGTTGACATATAAAGGGTACGGTCGGCTATCACTATAGATAGTAGAAAATAAATTTTTATCATTTAGAAGATAATGATTTCAAGACAAATTTTGTATGATAATTTTTATTTTTCGTTTTGAAGATGATTATTCAATTTTGATAAGTACTTATCTGATAAAAGAATCTAAGGGATGTTTTATTAATCTTATAATTTTTTTTTTTTTTACTTGAAATTTCACTTGAATTTTTTATAGTTGATCACGATAAATATGCGAAAAAAATGTAAAACTATACGATCGATCATAAATCAAGTTTAAATTTTCATTTTTTCTGTTATCCAAGTAAAAGATAATTTTTGTAATTTTCATCATCATCAATATCATGTTTCTAATAGAATAAATCTTTATTATTTTTTATGAAATATATATTTAAACGTATATATATGTACATAAAAATAATATATAAATAAAATAATTGCTATAAATTTTATCTGATACAAATACAATTACGATTGAAAAACTGAAATGTCCAATCCATTTCATTGCAGATTCATCAATCTAGCAAATATTTTCCATTGGATATGATAATATTACAAATATTATTACTATATAAATATTACTATTTAAAATAATTAAAAATTATTATCGTATCCAAAGAAAAAAAAAATCTATAAAATCTATAATGATATTATTAGTAAAAAATTTTTCACTATGAAATATAAATATGCGGAAATATAATATTACAAATCCTAATTTTCTTCATTTTCCGCGTAATAATTCCATTCTTGAATCTCTGCCGATCCAAAGGTGGTGAATACAATGAACGCAATCATCTGTCCAATAACAGCCAGCCAAAACGCGAATCTCCATCCTTTTATACTATGCTACGTTATAAATATACTAGATTAATAAAAAATAAGGAAAAAATTTATGATAATTATTGAAACGTAATTATCAAAAAAATCTCGATATAATGGGAAAAATTATGTGAGATAGGGATATTAATTATTGCAATACATCTATCAGTGCTGCAGCAAATTTAATATGCATGTTTTTTTTTTTCAATTTATAAGCAATGTATTCTGTTGCCAATGTTCTATTCACAATTCTCTTGTTCATCAATATCACTTTGAAATTTAATCCTTTGCATTGTTAAACTAGCTATGTTGTTTAGACATTTAGGTATTGTTAAAATAAAAAAAAATAATTATATAAAAAAATTCCTAAATTTCTAGTTTCTGGTATATAATTATTTCCATTGTAATTTTGATTCCATTCCACCTGATTCGATTTTTACATTTTTATATTATATTTTCTCGCACACTTCAAATTTGATCTCTTACCCCGTCGTGCGTAAATAGGCTCACTATAGCAGGAAAAATAAAGGCTGGAAGAGTCCCTGGAGTATTCGTTATACCCATTAAAATTCCTGCATAATTTGGTGCCAAATCGTTGTGGTTGCAAAGAAATCCGACAAAACTTGTACCGGTAAACGTCATGCTCAATATCAATAGTACGACAGCTAATATCCGATAGCAACCGGTATAAGTGATAATAAGGAGAAAAATGCACGTTGGGATGCAACCTGTGATTAAGAAATATATATGTTGAACATTCTTATAATGAACAAATTTTAAATAACAGATATAAAAAAAAGTAAAGGAAAGTATGTTATATCGAGAACGAATGGAGGGAGAACTTGCTTAAAAACATTACGATCTTTCGTGCCATTGTTTGACTCCAATAATTTCTTAGCCTGCCCCAATCCAGTATTTCTCCCAAAATCGGATTCACTATTACGCTTAAGAGATACGGCAAGCAGCTTAGGACTGCGTTCTGATAAATTACCAAACGACATCGATCGATATTGACAAATTTTACACAATTATACCACTAATTACATAAGTAAATAAATTTTGTATTAATAAGTTATTCTAAGATTGAATATAAAATCAAGTGTTTATGAGATGGCGGTTAATAAGAAAAGAATTTTTTAAAAATTGAATGACAGACTCACAGACTGAATGTCGAATCTCAGAATCTTGTTCATGTACAAGGGTAGCTGCGTGAGCAAGAAGTACCAAGCAAAGTTTCCGAATAAATTGGTGAAAATCAGGGCTATAAACGGGACCGACGTGAAAATGGATTTCCATGGTACCTTCATCTTCACCGATTCAAGGCCACGATGCCCGTACGAGTTCGTGATGTACTCCCTTTCCTCCTTCGTTATATACACTTGGGTTTCGGGGTTATCGCTGAAGAATATGTAGAATACAACGCACCAGATTAACGGAAGAAAGCCATGTATGTAAAAGATCACTTTCCATCCGAAGGCGTGGAGTATCAATCCGGACGTCAAGATAGAGATCACAGTGCCGATCGATATGCCGGAATAAATGATACCGAACCATAAATTCTTCTCTTCGTAAACGATCCATTTCCCGACCAGGATGGCAACGATAGGAAGATTTGGTGCGCTCATCACACCCATCACGAATCTCACAATGTAAAATGCCCACAATATGGGCGCCACTAATGGCACAACCAGTGTAAGAATCGCGTTTCCCAATACGCAGATCAGCAGAGCGTTCTTCGTGTTGAAACTGTAACATATCGTGCTTTGCAAACTATTGTTTACTAATAATAATCTTTTATTTTATTAATGAACGATTATTGGATTAAATGGTCCAAGATTATTGATATATAAGTCTAAGATTTTGATAGAGAAATTTTTTTTCGCGAATGATTCGTGCAAGGTATATTGAATTTTAAAATGGACAAGATCGCAGGAATAAATAATATCGAAATAATTTATGGATGATGTTTATTTCAAGAATGAAAATACGATTGAGTATTTCGTTTCTGAAGAAAAATATTATAACTTTAAAAATAAACGTGACATTTAATGAAAATAAACGTTTGTTTTGAGATTCTGAATTTATTTTTTCAAGTTTAATCGTGCTGATCATTTTCTAACCATTTTTCTGATGTCGTAAATAATATGTAATTCATCGTCTACTCAAATATGAATGAAAAATGATCTCGACACGAAGTTCGAGACTTAAACTTATTTAATTATTTTTGACTTTCACTTACCGATCTGCGAAATATCCGCATGGAAACATTCCTACTAAATAACCGATGAAATAAGAACTAACAACTAAACCTTGTTGCGTCGAAGTCCATTCGAACGGACCTTCTATATCGATAATTTGGGCTATCGGTTTAAAATTACATTCTTCCGACGCGTCATTTTTATCATCTTTATATTTAACCATGCCTACGATAGCTACGGTTATATTAACTTTCAGCCCGTAGATGATCATGTTCGCGATGCAGATCATTAATGAAAATATATATCTCACGTATCCCACTAGTGTTACAAGAAATATAAATTGTATGTAGATAAGTTTTGTTTCAATGAAAAAAATATCATGAAAAGTTTTTAATTTCTTCTTGAATATTATACATTTGATAACTTAATTAGATTAACTTTAATTCGTACATCATTCTCAAAAAATAGTCTTTTTTTTTTACGCTGGCCTTTTTTTTAAAAACTTTCACATAAAAATTACATTGAACAATAAAATAAGAATCTTTTTTTACCTTTTTATCATTATTGTATAATAAAGATAAGTATATTAAAATTAATTGTTTTGAATACTTAATAATCGATGCAAATATTAAAAGAAATTTGTTCTCGCTAACCCATCTCTTTGATTTATCTCATTAACGTGCACTACGTTTCTCGTACTATGTAGTAGAGTCGTTGCTTGTCGATTTTCTTATTCATCGCGAAAATCTTTTTTCTTGTCAGTTTCGTATATGCACCGATTCGACGTTTACCGAGTTATGGTTAACGACGAAGCAACCGATTTGAAGTGTACTACAGATGTGACTATCAATTATTAATATCGATATCTTATTGATACGATAATGATACGTATGGATGAATTAATATCGTTATGATATCCTTAAGATTTTGTTTTCTTTTTCATGTGAGAATTTCGCATATTCTCAGGTGGAAACTTTCTAATTGAGATAAGCTTTATCATTTGGTCATAATATTTTCGTATCAATTTATGGCCCTTTAATTAATAATCGGTCTACATTACAGATCGTCTCGCGGATAGAAAATAATGTTTTAATATTTAGGAAATGAAATATAATGACAATTAATATAAGATTATGATTTTAACAAGTTGAAAAATTGTGTATAACAATTCTTATTTTTATCATTAATGATTCTCCAATTTTGATAATGTTGTAATGTATGTAATTTTGGAAAAAAGAATCTAAGGAAAATTTTATGATGGTTTTTTTTTTAATTTTATTTAAATTTATTATACTCGGTTATAATAGGTACGGGATTAAATGTATAACTATACGACCACAAATCAATTCTTAAAAATTATTGAATAAGTATTGTTTAAATTTTAATGAAAACAAAGGTAAAGTTTTCTGTTACCCAATGAAGATAATTTCTATAATTTCATGTTTTTTTTTAATAATTTTATCGATATATATACTAGAATAAAGAACAAAAAGTTTTTTACTAAAATTAATATTTATTATTTTCCATATACATATACGTAACAATAATGTGTGAATAAAATAATTAAAAGTTTCAAGGATTACAGAAGAAATGCTAAAGAATAATATTTTCGATATTATTCTCTGTAATCTTACAAATTCTTTTTTTTAGATGCAATATTCGATAAGTTTACAAGTATTATTATTATTATTATTATTATTATTAATCAAAATTATTAACGTATTATTGTCGTATCAAAAGGAAACAATAATCAGAAAAATTTATATAATGATAATATTAGTAGAAATGCATTTTTCATTAAATGGTATTCATTAATAGAATTAAGGTAAAAATATAGGATTAAAAACTAGGTTTCGTTATTTTCATTTATTCCCTCATTATTCCATTTTTGAATCTCTGCCGATCCAAAGATGCTGAATACAGTGAATGCAATCATCTGTGCAACAACAATCACCCAAAATGCGTATCTCCATTGTTTCATAGTATGCTACGTTTTTAAATATAGATGATTAATAAATATGAAGAAATAGTTTATATTTGTGATAGTTATTGAACCATGTTATTTATCAAAGAGCCTTAATGAAAAAAAGAGTATCAGATAGAAGTACTAATTAATATTTAAAAAAAAAAAGACATCTTGAAATTAATTACAAACATCAATTCAAATTATTTAGAGCGTAAAGTCGATCGAAAAGTCCGATAAAAAAAACGTAATGTTGAATAAAGTATAAGATGGAAGGAAGAAATATGCGATAATCTGAAAATGTCGGGTATTCCGTAATTGGATTTTCGATAGTATCTCATGATACATTTAATATTGAAATTTCCAAAAAATCGAATCATATTTCGAGCTTTGTCGAATACTCAATCAGCTTATATATTTATTTCATTCCATTCATTGCATTCCAAAAATCTATCCTGAAAAGAATATAATAATTTCCCAAATCTCAGATGTCGATACGATGGGATTACGATTAAAATCAGAATTTCAATTATCCGGATTCCTGGTATTTATATCAATACCAAATTATTGTCTTCCCGAATTTTCATTTTCAATTGAATATTACAATTAAATAATTCTTTCCATCAGTTATATCGATATACTATTTATATAGAGGTTGATAATCAACTTCTAACTAGTAATTATAAATATACATTCGAAAAGAAAGTAATTTTTATAAAAATATCATATCTAGTTCCTCTAGTTTCGTTTGTATATTATTATTTCTTATCTTGATTCGACCTGTCCCGACCCGATATTTTCCGATTCTCGCATACTTCCGGTTTCATCTCTTACCCCGTCTTCCGTAAGTGCGCCCATTATAGCAGGCAAAACAAAGGCTGGAAGAGTCCCTGGAGTTTTCGTTATACCCATTAAAATTCCTGAATAGTTTGGTGCCAAATCGTTATGGTTGCAATACATTCCAAGGAAATTTGTACCGGCAAACATTACGCTCAACGTCAATAATACGACGACTGCTGTCCGATGGCAACCGATATAACCGATAATAAGGAGAAAAATACAGGGTGGGACGCAACCTGCAAAAATGATTAAGAAATGTGTATTTGGCATTCCTATAATCAACAAATTTTAAATAACAAAATTTTAAAAGTAGAAGAAAATATATTATATCGTGGATGAATGACATAGAGAGAGAACTTGCTTGTGAACATTGCCATCTTTCGCGCCATTGTTTGACTCCAATAATTTCTTAGCCTGCCCCAATCCAGTATTTCTCCATAAATCGGATTCACCATTGCGCTTAAGAGATACGGCAGGCAACTTAGAGCTGCGTTCTTGTAATTACCAAACGACAGTGACCAAATCGCTAATGACAAGTCTTACAATTAAGCTATTAATTAAATCATTGCATAAGTAATTAATAAGAAATATATAAGTAACACTTATGTTTAACTAATAAATTAAATTTCATTTTCATGCAATTTTTTTTATTTTCATTGTTTTAAAAATTAACTTTTAGAATCTTGATCCTTATTTTCAAAAACATTGCTGCTAAAAGAATTTTGCCATAAATGAAATAAAGTTTAATTGAAGTTAACTAATTAAGAGGAATTATAATAAATATGATATGAATTAATTTTATTATATGGGTATTATTGTAGCAGATCGAAAATTGTTCGTTCGTTCAAGTTTCACATTATCTGTTTAGTCCTTCGTTACACATTACAGTAATTATAATAATTCTACTATCAAAAAATCTATACCCATAAATTATTCTTAGATTTAAAAGCAAAACTAAATGTTTGTAATACGACTTAAGAAGAAAAGAAGTTTTTAAATAATAAGAAAATGAACTCACAGATTGAATATCAAATCTCAAAATCTTGTTCATATACAAGGGTAGCAGCGTAAGCAGAAAATACCAAGCATAGGTACCGAATGTATTGGTCAAAAACAGGGCTATAAATGGGACCGACGTGAAAATGGATTTCCATGGTACTTTCTTCGTTATAGGCCCACGGTGCCCGTACGAGGTCACAATATAGTGTCTCTCCTCCTCTGTTATGTACTTTTGCCCTTCTGGGCAATCATTGAAGAATACGTAGAACAAAACGCACCATATTAAGGGAAGAAAGCCATGTATGTAAAAGATCGCCTCCCATCCGAAGGCGTGGAGTATCAATCCGGACGTCAATATCGAGATCACAGTACCGAGCGACAGGCCGGAATAAATGATACCGAACCATAAACTCTTCTCTTTGTAAACGATCCATTTCCCAACCAGGATAGAAACGATAGGAAGATTTGGTGCGCTCACCACACCCATCACGAATCTCGTAATGCAAAGTACCCAAAACACGCGCGCCACTAATGGCACTATCAATGTAAGAATCGCATTTCCCAGTATGCAGATCAGCAGAGCGTTCTTCGTGTTGAAACTGTAACATATCGTATTTTGCAAACTATTGTTTACTAATAATAATCTTTTATTTTATTAATGAACGCTGATTGAGTTAAATGATCCAAGATATTGATATATAAATCTAAGATTTCGAAACGTAGAGAAATTTTTTTTCGCGAACGATTCGTTCGAGATATATTGAATTTTGATGTTCAGGAATAAATGATATCGAAATAATTTGGGGGTAATATTTGTTACACGTTTACAAGAATGAAAATACGATTAAATATTTCGCTTCTGAAGAAAAACTTTATAATTTTAAATAATGTCATCAAATCAAATACATCTATAGCAGCACTTATGAAATTTAATGGAAATAAACGTTTGTTTCGAGATTTTCAATTTTTTCTTTTTTTCAAATTAATGCCATTTAATCGTATTCAAGCATGCAGGTCATTTTTTTATCCATTTTTTTGACGTCGTAAATAATATCTAATTCATCGTCTACTCGAATATGAATGAAAAATGACCTCGATACGAAGTTCGAAGCTTAAGTTTATTCGATTATTTAATTATTTTTGACTTTCACTTACCGATCTGCGAAATATCCGCATGGAAACATGCCTACTAAATAACCGAAGAAATAAGAACTAACAACTAAACCTCGTTGCGTCGAAGTCCAATCGAACGGACCTTCTATGTCGACAGTAACGGAATAATCATTGAAACTGCATTCGTTTGACGCGTCGGATACTTCATCTTTATGCTTTACCATGCCTACGACAGCTACGACTATATTGACCTTCAACCCGTAGACAATCATGTTCGCGATGCAAATCATTGATGCATATATATATCTCACGTATCCCACTAGTGTTACAAAAAATATAAATTTTATGTAGATAGATTTTGTTTGAATGAGGAAAATATCATGAAAATTTCTTAATTTCTC